ACTTAAAACCTATTTGGATGTTAGTTCTAGAACTATTTGGGTACACTAAACCCTAGTACAACTTGGTATTACGCTACTCTCAATGAATTAAGTGATTAACTAATTATGACTAAGTTTTTATAAATACTGGATAGCTCAAACTGAACATGAAAATTGAGAATGCAACAATTGATCTGATAATGATGAATTAATAACTGAGGCATGTATATATGAAATAACTGAAATATCTGATCTAGAATGTGTAATTCAAGAAATAAAGAAATACATAGCTATAATTCTTAAATTCATGCAATAAACTGAGTAAAAACATGATAATCTAATTTGGATAATTCTAATAGATAAAAACCCAATAATTCTAACATTCAAAAGAAATCCTAAGTCTAGTTATGATATGTGAATCAAGAAACTGACTGAAAACAAGGAACCTAATGGGTGAAAGGAACCAACTAGTGAAATCCCATATAGTTGATAATGAATTCCACGGAGAAATATTTTGATTACAAAGCTGGAACTGATGGAACCTTATTGCATTCTTAAACTAGGGTTTGACCTTTTTCTCCTCTCTTGCTTCTAATTTTTAAGTTTTGATTAATAATTTGACATATGTAAGTTTTAGTTATGTTTCTAAGCTTAAACTGACTAAATCTCATTATTCAGGGTTTAAACGACGTATCTTAAGGGTTAATAGAACTAGGAAAGACCAAAAGACCCCTAAAATAATTGTTGTAAGAGAAATCAACGGTTTGGACTGATGGGCCGTTTTTAAATCGACGGTCCGTCGTTTGGGTTCGTGATTTGTGTCTGCTCGATAGACCTTCACTAAAATGGGCATAACTTCATACTCAGAGGTTGGATTTTAGCAAACTCGGCAGCATTGGAAAGAGTATTCAACTATCTATCATATTTTAGGTCATATTACACCTAATTATTTTGCGCTAAGAGTTATGACCATTCAAAGTTTACCCAATCTGTAATTACCCCTAACTAATAACTATATTCACCTACGATCAGACCTACAGACTGTAGATATAACAATGGTTCGTGCTGGTCATCCGTAGTTCATGTAAAAGGCTGGGTAACAGGTGTCTCGATTCACGGACACAAACCACAAACGATGGTCTGATTTACAGATCATAGGTCTGTCCGTGGGTCGAGACTTGGTCAATTTTCTGAGATGAGTTTTAGAAGGGGCTACAGTGGTGAACCACAAACCCAGTGTACGGACCGTAGATTAGACTATGATGCATAGATGGTGATCGTAGATTGCACATGAAATTTCAAAAATGTTGATTTTTGGTCTTTTTTCATACGGGGTTTTACATTATCTCCCCTTGGGAACATTCGTACTTGAATGATGGCTAAACTTTTTAAATAGAGGGAAAAAGCTGCAATCCTTACCACTAAACGTTGATAACTGAGTTTCTAACTGAATTGAGTTCCAAGAACATGAAATTACACTGAAAATGCAAGTATAAACTAAGAGAACATGATTTTAAGGCTGAATTCACGCATGAATGACTGAAAATCTGTAGAGGAACTATTACCTCAAGCTGGACTGAAATCGGAAGGAAAGAGATGAGGATACCTGAATTTCATGGTTGCTTCTGCTTCCTAAGTAGCTTCTTTAACGGACTAACTCCTCCACAAAACCTTGGCTGAAGTGACTTCTTAGTTTCTCAACCTTCTAACTTGATGATCAATATTCTAAAATGGTACATACCTTATAAAAAAGGCTAACTTTCACAACTACACTTTCTAATGACATTAAGGATGCTGGATTGCCCACATACTTCTTCAACAATGATATGTGAAAAACTGGATGCATTGCTGCTAATTCTGCTGGCAACTCTAACTTATATTCCACTTTTCCGACCTCTTTCAAGATATTGTAAGGGCCTACATATCTAGGACTGAGCTTCTTTTTCTTGCCAAATTTCATCACCTCCTTCTATAGGTGATACTTTCAAGTAAACCCAATCATCAACTTGGAACTCTAGTTCTCTTCTCCTTACATCTGCATAATATTTCCGATGATTCTGGGCTGTCTTAAGCCTATCTATAATGAGTTGCACTTTCTCCATAGAAAAGGATTGAATCTGGTCCTATTAAAGCTGCTTCACCAACTTCAAATCAACCAATAAGAAATCTACATCTACGCACATACAGTGCCTTATAAGGGGCCATCTAAATGCTGGAATGGTAGCTATAGTTGTTAGCGCACTCAATCAGAGGAAGGTGATCATCTCAACTACCCTTGAAATCAATCACACAAGCTCTCTACATATATACTCTAGGTTCTGAATGGAAAGGTGTGCCTGTCTATCCGTCTGCAGATGAAATGTTGTGCTAAGGTTGACTTGAGTACCAAGACCCTTTTGAAATGACTTCGAGAAATAAGAGGTAAACTAAGGACCTATATCTTAGATGATAGAAAAAGAAACCCCATGCAATCTCACAATTTCATTAATGTAAAGTTTGGAATAGTCCTCCGCCAAATCTGTAGTCTCGACTGCCTAAAAGCGAGAAGACTTAGTCATCATATCAACTATCCCCGAAATAAAGTCATGTTGTCTGCGAGTACGCGGCAACCCTGTGATGATATCCATATTGATCACTTCACTTCCAAGTAGGAATGTCTATTTCTTGAGTCATACCCCCTAGTTTCTGATGTTCTACCTTGACTTGCTGGCAGTTGGGACACTTACTTAAAAAATGGGTTGTATTCTTCTTCATACCATTCCACCAATATACTTTCCATAGATTGCGGTACATCTTAGTGGCACCTGGCTGTATAGAATATTTGGAATTGTGGGCTTCTGCAAGAATATGTTGTGTCAACTCACCCACATCGAGAACACACAATCTACCTTGGTAGCGAAGAACACCATCTCCCCCTTGGGAGAAAACCTCCACTCTCTGATTATGGACTGCACCTTTTAGTTCAAGTAATATTGGATCACTGTCTTGCTTTTCCTTAACCTCCACTACCAAAGAAGATTCTGCCCAAAATGGAACTGTTACACCACTGTCTGATATGCTCATAAGGCGAACTCCCAAGCGAGCAAGCCAATGAACATCCTTCACTAGTTCCAAACTTTCTTCCTCAACATGGGCTACACTACCCATAGATAATGTGCTAAGAGCATCTGCTACTATATTCGCCTTACCAGGATGGTAATGGACACTCATATTATAATCTTTAAGGAACTCAAGCCATCTCCTCTGGCAAAAATTCAACTCTTTCTGGGTGAACACACACCGAAGGCTCTTATGGTCAGTGAACACATCTATATAACACCATACATGTAGTTTCTCTAGATCAGAGTGCAAACAATACTGCTGCAAGGTCGAGGTCATGAGTTGGATAGTTGTTCTCATGCACCTTAAGTTGAGAATAAGATATAACCTTATCTTGCTGCATGAACACACAACCTAGGCCAACTATGGATGCATCGCAAAATAGATCACATAAACATCAGAACCCTCTGGTAAAGACAAGACAGGAGCTGTAGTCAATGTAGTTTTAAATTCTGCATAGCTTTTCTCACAATTATCTGACCATTGAAACTTAACCATCTTTTGAGTCAACCTAGTCAATGGTGAGACTATGGATGAAAATCCTTCCATGAACCTTTTGTAATAACCCACTAGACCCAAGAAACTTCTGATATATGTAGCAGAGGTAGGTCTGGGCCATTGTTTCAATGCTTTTATCTTTTACGAATCCATATAGGATCCCCTCACTAGGTACAATGTGACCAAGAAAAGCAACGGATTGCAACCAAAACTCACATTTGCTAAACTTAGAAAATTACTTTTGATATTTGAGAGTCAACTAAACAACTCTCAAATGACTCGCACGCTCTTCCTTATTCCTATATGAAATAAGGATATCATCAATAAAGACGATAACGAACAAGTCCAAGTATTGTTTGGACACTCTATTCATCAAATCCATGAAAGTCAAAAAAGCATTAGTTAGTCTAAACGACATAACTACAAATTCATAATGACCATACCAAGTTGAAGTCTGTTTTTGGAATGTCACTATCTCTGACTCTGACTTGATGATAAATCAATTTGAGGTCTATCTTTGAGAAATGACTAGCACCCTGAAGTTGGTCAAATAAGTCATCAATCCTAGGGATAGGATACTTATTCTTGATTATGACCTTGTTCAACCATCTATATTCAATGCAAATTCTGAGAGAACCATATTTTTTCTTTACGAACAACACTGGTGCACTCAATGACGAAATACTAGGTTTGATGAAACCCTTATCTAGAAGTTCTTCAACTGATCTTTAAATTTCTTAAGCTCTCTGGAGTCATTCTGTAAGGAGGAATAGAAATAGGTTGGGTATATAGAAGGAGATCAATTCCAAAGTGAATTTCCCTTTCAGGAGGAACTCTAGGATGACCTTCTGGAAACCCAGTGAATACTGGAACTAACTCAAGAGTTGAGGTTTCAGAGATAGAATCCTTAACCCAAACTAGATGATGAATATAATGCTTAGAGATTATCTATCTGGAGTTAAGGTAAGAAGTGAATCATCCCATAAGCGCTAAACTACTACCCTTCCACTCAAAGATTGGTTAATTTGGAAACTAAAAATGAACAATCCTAGTTATACAATCAACTGAGGCATAATATGAATGTAACCAATTAATGTCTAGAATGACATCGAAGTCTACCATTTCTAAATCTATAAGATATGCTGAGGTGACTTTCTCAGAGACTGTGACAGGGCAATTTTTTGTATACCCGTCTACTTATATCTGGGTCACCAACTTGAATAGATAATCAGAAAGGGTATGAGTAGAGTTTGTGGGCTAACACTAAACTAGAATACTATGTAAGAAGTTACAAAGGAGAGAGTAGACCCTGGATCTAACAATGCATAAACATCAAGGTGAAAGACTTGTAACGTGCCAGTGACTATATCAGGAGAGACTTCCTAATTGTGGCGAGAATGAAGAGCATACAACCTATTTTGGCGTTAACCGCCACCTTTACAAAATGATTTAACCTGCCGAGTCAGGCAACTTAATGGTGTTGCTGAAGTTGTAGAATGAGCTCTACCATAACTACCTCCTTGACCCTGTCTAGAAGGACAATCCCTCAACCTATGACCAGACTGACTGCATCCAAAACATCCTTCCTTTCTTGCGAGGCACTCACCTGGATGGTTCTTATAATACTTAGGGTAAGTGGGGTAAGTCTTAGTGCCTGAAGCACTTCCCTGAGACTTAGAGACTGGTGCCCTAACCTTCTGATCATACTTGTTCTTAGAGGATGAAACACTAGCTGACGGAGGGGCTGGGGTTAATGACTTTTACTGAAATTGCCAGCGATTTCCACCACTCGACTTCTGCTGAGAGTAGTCATAGTTCCCAGTCCTAGCCTTCTTATTATCCCTAAGGTTATCACCCTCAACCTGTTGAGTATGATTGATAATCCTAGAGATGTTCATGTATCCCACTAATATAGCATTTCTGCACTATTTTTTTAGCTAAATCTGACAGTCTATACAAGAACTTATTTATCTGAGCCCTAGAGTCAGCAACCATGTGAGAAACATACATGGAGAGCTGGTCAAACTTAAGTCCATACTATTGGATAGTCATGTACTTGACTTAACTTCATGAGTTCTTGGGCCTTTTCTTCTCTAAAATATATTGGGAAAAACCTGTCCAAAAATGTCTCACTAAAGCAATCCCAAGTAATAGGAGTTACATATGTACCCCTATTTTCCTTCCATGCGTATAAGATATGAGCAACATATTTCAGCTGGTATGATGCCAACTCAACTCGATCATTCTTTGTGACCTGCATCACCTCAAAGATCTTCTTGATCCCATCTAAGAAATTTTGAAGATCCCAATCTGCGATTCTAAGAACTGACGAATTCAGCTTAACAAAGTCACAAATCTTAGTTGGTGTTGATCCACCGTTTGAAATCACATGATCTTGAACCTGCTGATTGTTCTTGTTGGCCACACTCTTAGCCAACAACTGAATGGCGTTCCTGAACTCAACATTGGAGACTTCCTGATCTAGGATTGGTGGAGGTGTATTTGCATTCTTGGCATTCATATTCCTAGCATTAGTTCTACGAGGAGGCATGATATGAAACATAGAACGTCGAGTTAGAATGGAATTAGATCATACCTTACCCATGATAAGAGTAACAAGAAAGTGAAGTTTTTCTCAAAACACTTCATAGCTTCCCTCTCATCAGATAAGGTGCACTTCATACCCATGAAAAGTACTCTACTTACTGTGGCTTTTAGACATCTTAGGTCACTTAAACCTAATGCTCTAATACCAAGTTTGTCACATTCCATGCTACCCACGAGACGCGTACACGGGACCTAGGACCACAGTGATCCCAAGCTAACCTACTAGCATCATCATGAGCATACTAAAGATAATAAACTGATGCGGAAGCTAAATCATAAGTAAAATGAAAAGATAGGGAATACGTACATACTATAACAAAAATATATGAAAACGGATGAATTTAATACAAAAGGTGATATTAACTCAATACCAAGATGAATCTAACTATGTTTGAAAATAACCTCTAACTGACTAGAATTGTCGGGATAGGACCTAGCTAAGTCTAGAAAAACTGAAATTAAATTACTAAAACACTGAAAAGAAACTCATGATTATTGTCCATGGCGAATGAGGACTCACCACTAATTCTTCTGAACTGGAGACCGCGAACTGGTCTAAGTGTAATTTGGATCCTAAGAACCCGAACCTATATCACGAGTATATGTTGCACACGTATGCATCAGCACTTGAAAGGTACTGAGCATGTAGGATAGAGTAAAACTGAAATAATACGTAACTGAATAAGCATAAAAGTAAGTTTAATAGTATGAAGATGATATACTGAATGCTCAGCTAACTGGATGTAATTACCAAATTTATAACATACTGACTGAATACTAACTGAACTGTAAGTATGGTGAATGCAATAGAGTTTAACTAAATTGTGGGAGCTACTAATAAATGATAATTAAACCACATAAGCTAAATGTGGAGTCAAATGTATACACCCCATCGAGAGGACCCTATATAACCTGCCAAATGTATAAATTCATGTTGGCGTGATCACTAAACTGATGCCCACAGAGGGGATAATTGGCTAGTAGTTCTAGAACTATTTGGGTACACTAAACCTTAGTATAACTCGGTATTATGCTAATCCCAATGAATTAAGTGATTAACTAACTATGACTAAGTTTCTGTAAATACTGAATAGCTCAAACTGAACATGCAAACTGAGAATGCAATAATTAATATGATAATGATGCATTAGTAACTGAGGCATGTATATATGAAGTAACTGAAATATCTAGACTAACATGTGTAATTCAAGAACTAAAAAAATACATAGCTAGGGTTCTGAAATTCATGCAATAAACTGAGTAATTACATGGTAATCTGATTTGGATAATTCTGATAGCTAAAAACCCAATAATTCTAACATTCAAGAAATCCTAATTCTAGTCCTGATATGGAAATCAAGAAACTGATTGAAATCTAGGGACCTAATGGGTGAAAGGAACGCACTAGTGAAATACCACATACCTGGTAACGAATTCCATGGAGAAATCTTTAGATTACGGGTGGAACTGATTGAACCTTGTTGCATTCTTGAATAGGGTTCTTAACCTTTTTCTCCTCTCTTAATTCTAATTTTCTATGTTTTGATTAATGATTTTGACTTAGGTAAGTTTTAGTTATGTTTCTATGCTAAAACTGACTAAATCTCATGATTTAGGGTTTAAATGACGTATCTTTGGGGTTAAACGAACTAGGAAAAGACCAAAAGACCCCTGAAATAATTTCTGGTGGAGAAATCAATGGATTGGACTGACTGTCCATCGTTTAATCGATGGTCCGTCGTTTGATTCTGCTCGACAAGCCTTCCTAAATAGGCATAACTTTTTACTCGGATTTTGAATTTTAACAAACTCGTCGGTGTTACAAAGAGGATTCAATTTTCTACCATATCATAGATCATATGACACTTAATTCATTTTGTGCGAAGAGTTATTGTCATGACCGAGCCTACACGCTGGACGTGGCGGCTCTCGAAGACCATTTTGGTGCCCAAGTGAACCCTCATCATGGCTGACTACAAGCGGAAGACTAACTTAAACATACAAAAGCTTAAAAGAGATTTAAATCATGAAACTCAATTGTAATGCTTTTATCTCAAATGAAAACTTTGACTGAAAATAATTTATTCAACTCGCCACAAAATAGGAAACTTAATATTTAAATGATTTAAATAAATTAAATAAATAATACAGACTTCTTAACTAAAGTGACTATCTATGAAGCCTCTAACTGATAAAGATGGATGTCGAAATAGACCCACGACCTCCTGACTAAACTGAAAAGTAAATGAAATCCTCCGGAAGTATAGGAGGCACACCATAGCTAACTTAAACTCTCGAATGTATCAACGAAGCTCCTGTTGATGATCCTGAATACTTGTGTGTGCATCATCAAAAGATGCAGGCCAAATCACTCAGTATGTGGAATGTACGAGCATGTAAGAGGATTCTAAAGCATAAAACATAAGCTTGTACTTAATCAAAAGGATACATACCTAAATCTTTTCAAATCAACTCAAATCAACAATATGATACTCAACTCAAAGATTATGTATTCAACTCAAAGATTAGATACTCAACTTCAAAGATATGATACTCGACTCAATGAAACACAAATCAATTCAAGATACTCAACTAAAGTATTTAACTCGAAATACTCAATCTTGATACTTAAGTGAACTCATTTCGATATAAAGTATTTTAAAACAAATGCAATATAAAGAAAAGTTGTTTAAAAACATTATGTCAACTTTGTGTATATATCAAGGATACAACACGACTCTTAAATGTGTATGAAAATACAATTAACTAATGTATATAAAATACAATAACTTCTGTGAGAGTTTCACTAATCGAAAACCATCATTGTGAGCCTAAGTGATGATGCAACGTTTTACCTCACCCTAACAAAGATCATCCTATACCTTTCCATTGGTATAGGACCTTACTTAACTTAGTGGATCCACTAGCTTAATGTACGTGATCTTCTAAAATGTATGATCCATTAATACCCATGATGGATACATGGTTACATAAAGACATGAGTTAATATGAATTTCCATCCCAACATCGGTGCTCAATAATATTCCCAAAATATACTTTAGCTCATGCTTTTGAAAAAACATCTTTTCTTTGGGTTGAGATAATTTGATCAAAACTTTAGCTTTAAAAAGCTCTTTTGGAATCAATGTTCCCTTTTTTTGTTCAAAACTCTTTTTGGAAATATTACTTTCCCCTTCACTTAAATGTGAAAATATTTATAAACTCTTAGGGAATATGTAGTTCCCTTATAAATTTTGAGAAATGAACTCAACTCGTAATCTTTGCTTAACTTGAAACGTAACTCTTGGGGAATACTTAGTTCCCTTATATTACTTGAATAAAGATTTTCAACTCTTTATTCTTTACTTGACTTGAACTTTAAGCCTTTTAAACAAAGTGAAAATGTTTGTGAAAGACTTTGGAAAACTTTATAAACTTTACTTTGACTTGCTCTTAACTTCTAGAATTGACTCTTAACTTTCCTTGAATTGAAGTATAGATTTAAGGTTTATGATCTCATATTTATGGATGATTTCATAATTTTCAACTTGGAGGGTTCATGCAGAATTATGAGCATGAACTACTCAACTCGAATGTCTCCCATTGAACTAATGAGTACAACTTTTCTCATTCTCTTACATACTTCCTCCAATATTAGCTCAAATAATTAGTTGATCTCAAAAGATTGATAACTGAGCTCGAAAGCTTTCTTGAACTCTACTCTGAACTCTCTCTTGAATGTGAATTATGAATTCAAGAGTTATGGTTCATGATATGAAGGATATAGGTGATATTGTAAACTCATGAATACATTCTCCTCACTTTATGCTCACTTACTTGAGTCTTGAAACAAGTCACTAGAAGTTCTATAAGACTCCTCAAAATAACTCGAAGGGACTCTCTCAAAAGGTTCGGAAGAACTCTCAAAACTTAATCTTGAATTTACCTTGAATTTGAATTGTTTTCTCAAGGTTATGATTCATATTATGAATGATTTGTAAGTGTTTAGAAGTATTTTAAAGTGTTTAGAATCAAAAGGAGTGAAGACACACTTTAAATGAGCTCAAATAGAGCGACATGGGGAAAACTGGAGTGGGAAGGTGACCTTGGGGATATGGGTGGCACAAGGCGCCAAACCTGAAGTACAGAGAAGGGTGTGGGGCTCTCTGGAAGGCGCGTCACACCAGGACCCAACCCAAAAAATCTATCAAACATCCTTGCTCATTTTCTCACCCTAACTCGCCTAAAATTGAGTTATTTCTTCCCCAATTACTTTGATTCAATTATTTAACTTAATTACACTCTAATAAACTTAAAAGAACACTAAAATTACTCAATTAAATATCATGAATTCATCAAAAATCCATCATAACAAGATTTAGAATGAACCTCAAGGAAACCTATCAAGAACTCTAATCTTTAAACTTTAAGAATGAAATTTCTTAGAAAAATAACATGATTGGAATGTTGGTCAACTAAACCAACACTATGGATGCTTACATAACTCTTAGGGATTAAACCCACAGCGAAAATCCGCAACTAAACTCTAGAACGTCGATGAACGCCTTCATCCTTTCATCTTTTCTCTTCTTGCCTCTTCTTGAACTCTCAACTAAAACACTAGGTGTATATAAGGATTATAAAACTGAACTTAAAAGGATTAGACCCCTAAAATATTACTAAAAATGAATTAAATCTGATTGGATAAGGAAATGACCAAAATACCTCTCATATTTTCGGCTAACTTCCTTAACTGGACAACCAAACTTCAAAAGGTCATATCTCACTCATCCGAACTCCAAACTTAGAAAACTCAACTTTGGAAAGACAATTCAAATATCTTTCCTATGATATGTTGTATCACACATAACTCATCATGTGCTAGGAGTTATGGTCGTTTGAAGTTGACCTAAA